TACTAGCTATATGACCCAGGACAAGTCACTTAACCCCTATTTGCCTCAGTTCCTCATCTCTAAAAGGGGGACACAATGGAGAAGGAAATGACAAACCACTCCAGTATCTTTGCCAAGAAAACCACATGGATGAGTCCAAGGGGTCACAAAGAGTCAGACAGCACTGAACAACAACAATTATGTCAAGGATAAGCAGTTAAGTAGCAATGTAGCTCTGGGCAAATCCCCTAACGTCTCTGAGCCTGTTTCCTTCCCAGTAAAATGGGGATGATAATGACACCTGTAACATGGAGGCTGCTTCGAGAATCGAGCGAGAGAATGCCTGTGAAGTACTATATAAAGGTGAGCTAGTATTAATTCTCAGGTGAGGAAATGTGGTATTCCATGACTCAAAGCCGTGTGTTCCACCCTCACCTGCCTTGGTGAAAGGGAGGGAAGACGCTGAGTATGGTTTTAGATTAGAGAGGGAGGTGCCTTTGGTCCGCATGGATTATGTTTCATCGACCTCCGGCCGGCGTTTACTATTCTTAACCTAGTAGGTTATTCACCTCTTCTCATTGTGGAGGAATAGCACATCAAAGAGCCCTCATAAGAACAGAAATTAGTTTGTGGCCAGAAATACAATTGATGGCTTTTCCTGGACTCTCTCAAACAAAGTGAGCAGGAGATGAAAAGGCACCCGCGCCTAAAACTGTGCCCTGGGGCCAAAGCAACTCATTTTCTTATTGCAAATGGACTTTTGTCTTGACACTGATAACACTTTCCAGGCTGTTTAGAAGAGACCTTTAAACTCCAACTCTTATCGTGGGAGAGAGGAATGTCCTTCCCCCTCCCTCCTACTACCTTCAGCACACAAAGTCTGGCATCGATTAGCCCAGTCTTCTAGGGACCATTTTTAGTTTTGTGACTTCAGAGGGATGTGCCTGACAAGTGAAATGCGTTCCCTTCCCAAAGAATAACTGCAGGGGCAGCTAGGTGGCACAGTGGGTGGAGCACGGGCCCTGGAGGCAGGAGGACCTGAGTTCAAATGTGACCTCAGACACTCAACACTTACTGGTTGTGTGACCCTGGGCAAGTCACTTAACTCCATTGCCTAGCAAAAAAAAAATGCAAAGGACCCCCCCCCAAAAAAAAGGCATAACCTAGGCCTTTTTCTCCATAAAGAGTTTCTTCTTCCTTTGATTGCAGTTTCTTAAAATGTTCCTCTAGTAATCCCACTGCTCCAGAAAAAATTGGGTCTGCAGACACTTGGATGTATTAGCCAGAAAATCAGACACAAACCTCATTTTTAGTGACTCCTGGAGTGCAGAAGGGCTTAGTGGGCTCTTTTCAGACAAAGGTGGATGAAGGGACCTGCAGAAATGAGTTCATAGGATAATAATGACACTGGCCACTTAGGACAAAGCCATCTTCCAATGGGACCTCATTGTCTTCTCACAACAATCCAGCGAGGTGAGTGCCTCACTTACTGGCATTAGCATCTCCATTTTACTGAAGAGGAATCAGCTCCGGAAGGATGAGGTGACATGTTTCTCAAAGCCCAAGTAGGTGCTTAATGGCTGTTGAATTGAATTGCCCACAGTGGTTATGCTAGCGTGGGACTCAGAGTTAGAAATCAGACACAAGATCCAGCCTCACTCTTTTCAGACAAAGGTGGAGAGGAATTTGCCGAAACCAGTTCACAGGATAGTAATAACACCTGCCATGAATGTAGTCCTTCAGCGGTGAGAAAGCCTTGCCTTTACCTTAGCTGACCTCTTTTGCTTCTCACAATTCAGGGAGGTGGGTAATAGGATTATCTTCAGGGTTTGGTTTGGTTTGGGTCTGAACTTGTGATGGCAATGGTGTAGAAATGCCCTTCCCAAGTACGAATGGGCAACCTAATTGCCACTTCTTAAGGCCATGGGTTCCCCACCCCTGAACGAGAAGTTGCAACTGGGTTGCCAGTGGCTGGGAGAATTTAATGGACCTGCCCAGGGCCACACAGGCAGTCTATACCAGAGACAGAAATCAATTGCTAGATGTTCCTCAAACTCAACCTGCCCCAAACAGAATTCATCATCTGTCTCCCTAAAGCCGCCCCCTCCTTCCGGGCACTCGGGTTCGAACCTTCATGACATCCTTGACTCTTGCATTCATTAGCCCCACATTTCCAATCAGTTGCCAAACTCCGTTGTTTCCACCTCCCACAGCTCTATCTATAGCACATCTGTCCATTCACAGTCACCATCCTAGGTCACGTCCTCATCACCTCTCCTGACCTAGCCCCTGGACTACTGGTAACAGTTGCCTTCTGCTTGCTCTCCCAACTTCAAACCTTTCCCCACTTCAACCCCTGTCTACACAGCCCCAGTCCTAAAGCATCGGTCTAGCCACGCCCCCTCCTCCTCCTCCTCCCCACAGACAATCAACTCCAGAGGTTTCCTATCACCTCTAGAATCAAATATAAACAACTATGTTTGGTATTTAAAGCTCGGCACCATCTGGCCCCGTGCTCCCTTTTCCAGGGACTTCTTCCTCTCGGAGCTCGCTTGCTGTTCCACACACAGCGCTCTCTCCAGCCTGGGTGCTTCCGTACTGGCTCTGATGCCTGGAACACCCCTCTTCCTCACCTATGTCTCCAGGACTCCCTGGCTTCTTTTACGATTCAGCTCAAGCGCCCCCTTCGGCAGGAAGATGTTTCCCTCAGTTGTCTGCTTTGACTAAATTTATTTACACCTATCTATATATGTACGTGTCATTATTTCGCCCCAGCACAATATAGGGCAATATGTTTTGTTTGTCTTTGTTACCTCCACCCTCCACCCCCAGCACTGGGCTTGGCACATGGTAGTTGCTTACTGAGGCTGGTTCTCTAGCCACCGCAGTCAAGCTGCCTCTAATACCCATTTTCCGGGTGGGAAAACAAGCCAGGAGGAGCTAATTGCCTTGTTCTCTGAAGGCTGAGGATAAGGTACTTAAGATTTGTTGAACTGAGTTGAGCGTGGGCACACAGCTAGCACGGGCCAGGGTGTGAGAACCAGGTCTCTCAAGACACCAGCCACTGCAGCTCTGCTCACTTCCCTTCGTCCCCCACACACAGGCTCTCATTGCTCACCTAGCTGCTTGGCGCTTTAAAAACCCCTCAGATTCCCAAAACACCTTCTCCCTTCCCTTGGGAGATCAGCTCTCTCCAGCTCCTGGGTACCAAGCAAAGTGTGCATTCTCAGCTCTCTACCCTCACATGAACTTGGCAAAGCCCTAAGAGTCGGACTGTCCACCGCGGGGCCTAGAAAAGTGCAAAGAATTCTGAGCTCGAAGGGCCCCACTGGGAGCTGTGACTCAAGAGAGGGAAGCGATAAGGGGAAAGCCCCCAACAATCCCAGCCCTATTTCACGAAGGGCTGTCTGATAAAGCAGCAGCTGGATCGAGTGGCAGAAGCCTTGGCTCAGGTTCTTCTCAGCCCCCCTCCACGGGTCCCAGCGCCCTGTGCAGGGTAGAGACTTAGCCATGGCAACAGGAAGATTCCTATCAATGGCTGCAGGGTGGGAAGAGAAGGCCGGGAGAATCAGGTTTCTAGCACAAGGCTTCACTTCAGGCCTTTCTCAGCCAGAACTGCCTCCGTTGAGTTGTCTCCCAGCTTGGAAGGGGCCAGTTTGGGGCAAGCCAATCTTGTCCAGATGAAGAAATGCGCTAAGCTGACTGGGGGACGGCAACTCTGTGAACATTTGCTGCACTTCCTCCCAGGATGCAACAGGCTCAGCAACCTTTCATAGAGGAAGGGCCACTGAGCAGGGTGTGCTATAAAGGACCTGGGTTTTCATCCCCTTCCCCCTACCAGAGGAGACCCCTACTACCCGTATAACTTTGGGCAAGTCATGCATGCTTCATCGGTAAAATGAGAGGATTGTGGAGCGAGCTAAATGACCTCTAAACTTCTTTTTACCCTTTTTTGGAATCATAGATCCCTTAGGCAATCTGGGTCCAGCTACAGACCCCTTCTCTGAACCATGTTTTAAAATGTAAAAAATAAAATTCATAGGATTACAAAGGAAATCAAATATATTAAAATGCAACTATATAAGTACTAATAAAAACAAGCTCATAGAATTTATTGACTGGTGGAAAAAAAGCCCCTCCCACTTACATTAAACTCCAAACATATCACCTCTGCTACTGCCCAGTCCTAGGGGAAGGAGCTGTGCAGTTTAGATTTTCCTACCGTCTGACAGTTGCACACAGCATGGAGGCAAAATAGCCATTTCCTTTCCTCAAACAAGTGGGAAAAATCACTTATGTTCCAGAAAGACCACCAAATCTCCATCAGTAGGGGAACACCCTCCTCCACCCCAGCCCCTCCCACTGCTGTGGAGGCCCTTCCAGAAGGCCTCCAAAAAAGATCTACCCATGTGCTGGAAGGCCCTCCTGTATTCTTAATAAATATTTCATGGGCACCAGCGTAGGACTGAAGCTGTCCATCTGTTACTCCTCATTACTGCTATGCAACTAGCCCCGTTCTCCCGAGAAATGACTTGAGACACACATTTTCAGGGAATTAAAAAAAAAAAAGAAAAGAAAGCAACACAGGAACACAGATCTAGAGTTAGAAGGGCCTTTAGAGGTATCTAGTGTATCCCCTTCACTTTACAGATGGGGAAACTGAGGCCCAGAGAAGAAAGGATTTTCCTAAAGTCACTTAGGTAACAAGTCACATACCACGACTAGTATTACCTTTGTAACCTTGGATAAATCACTTTCCCTCTCTGGGTCTGTTTCCCCATGTATAAAACGAGGGAATTGTAATCGATTAGATGGCCTCAAAGGTCCTCAAATCCATGACCCTACATCCTTTCATCTGTATTATGGAGGTCCTACTCCCCCCCACTGCTCCCTCAACTAGAACTTTGTGACCTAATGAAGTCCGACCTGAGGCAGAGCATAGGCCAGCCTTCAATACATTTTTTTACCTGCCTGGCTCTCCCCACTGCACTGGGGTCCTGGAGAGAGTGTACATCGCCAACTACTTTGAGAAATCTTTTATTAAATGTTGATGATGGTTCAGGGTTTAGAGGTATAGGGAACAGTTCTTAATTGGGAGGTTAATCACAACTAAAGAATTGCAGTACAAAAATTCAGGCATATTTGCCTTTGGAAATAAATCAAACCCTTGTAACAGGGGCATGAGCTGGGAGGTCTTTCTTGTACAAAAACAATAAACAATACTTTGCAAAAGTCATACAAAAATACAGTATAGAAACCAGTCTCCCCAACCCAACACCCAACAGCAGCTTCTGGCATAAACCCAAACCCCACCAATCCCACCAACCCAGCCTTCCCACAGACAATAAAGAAGTCAGCAACCTTGGTTCCACAGGCCATAGAACGACCCAGGGAGATCACGTCATTCAAGATAGGCCCCTCATTCTTAGGGTGTACCCACCGGATATCAGAAGGGCCTCAACCCTTTAGCCCTGGTGGTCTCTGGGGTCCAGGGTCACCAACTGCTTGAAAGAACTTGGGAAACAGATATCAAAGCTTCCAGTCCCTCCTCACACCCAGAGTCAGGTGCCAGTCAGAACCACACCATGTGTGTTCTTGGGGGACGGGCGTAGGGGGCAATCCAAAACCTATGGCCTAATAAAGGCACCGGAAGGTCAAGCTGTCAAGTGGCTATAGGAGGCTGACATATTGATCCCTTCCACTACCCAGTCAGGTGGCTCCTGAAATTGGAATCATAGCATCTTTTCGCTGGGAGGGCCCTTAGGGTTCACCTAGTTCAACCCTCTGCCCAACAGATGGATGCCCTCTACAACATCCTCAATAGGTCACCAGCACAGAATAGTAGGTAGTGCATGGGACTGGAGAATCAGAAGTCCTGGGTCTGAATTCCTGGCTTTGTCTCTTACGATCTCTGTGACCTCTGAGCCCCCTCTGGGCTTCACTTTCCTCACCTATGAAATGAAAAGATTGTATTAAACGACCCTTCCAGCTCTAAAATCCTATGATCTCATAGCCTGGCATGAGTTAAATTCAAACTCATCCCCAGACTGGCATTGCACCAGAACTGGATACAATAAACCCAGATAGGGCATGAGCTCATGTGATAAAGCAACCAGAATTTGGTTTTGGTCTGGGATTATACCCCGGGGACCTGCCATTGGCCTCATCTTCCATATCTAGTGCTCTGGGTTATTTCAGTAGGTCCACTCTGGAATGAAAGCCAGATTCCCAGAGGGCCCGGCCAACCAGCTGAGCCCCTGAGCTCTCTAAGGAAACTCTAAGGAAGAGTTTCAGTCATGCCAAGCTATGAGAACAGGCAGAAGAATAAGGACAGCTGGAGGAGCTATCAATGCTGTGGGAAAGAGATATTCAAGACTGGGACAGCTCTTCAGAACCTACCACTACTCTAGGGCTTCAAACAGAAGGAAGAAAGAAGGCAGAATAATCTTCTAACTCCGACCTTCCCCACCCCCAAGCTAGGCTCCCCACCACTTGCCTCCATCTAGGCCATAAGTGCCGATGATTGGGGGGTGGGGGAGTGCACACCAAGGCAGGCCCTACTCCTGGAACTAGGTCCTACCCAAACCCTTGCAGCTAAGACCAACTTAAACAAGATCTGAAGAGTACCCTCAGTCACTACGATGATGGAGGACGTATCAACAGGTTCCCAACTTGTATCTCTAACCCAGCCACCAGAAGCCTCTGCTGAAAAAAAACCCAACAACAACAATCGAAAAACCCCAAGAGGCACAGTTCTGGTGGCCATGTTAACCCCTTCGCCTTCCAAGGCAGGCCTTCAGTTCCATATACGACTCTGTTTTCAAGTTTATAGCATCGTCAAAAGGTTACCAACCCCTTGGCTACTGTAAAGTGTTTAGCAGAGAGGTAAGGGTCTCCATGAGTAAGTCTCCAGGCTCCTCTCCAGCGAAAACAGCTCATGTATCCACTGGAAAAAGTATCTTGAGTTGTCAGCCTCAAAGCCCAGCTGTCCTCGGCTAACCCCACAGGGACAGCCCCAGCAGGAGCATCCCTCACCATGACCAACCCCCCAGCTCCGAGGAGTGTGTGATTTCAGGGAGGACACCACCTGTCGCTCAGCATCTGTCATGCCTTGCCTTTCTCCCGGAGCTGCACCCCAAAGCCCGTCCCTTAAGGCAGCTGCTTTGCTGGACACAGAGACTGTCCCCCTAAATGAGGCAGAGGAGCTGGGGGCTGGGTGTGGAACATGCCAAGACAGTCTTTCAAAGGTTCCAAGAATGCAAGCCATTGTGTGCGTGTGTGCGTGTGTGTGTGAGTGAGTGAGCATGAGTGCGTGCATTTGGCCACAGTGCATTCTGGGATCAATAGTCCAGTTAGTCCCACGGGACCCAAAATGTGCAAATTACCAAGGGGGAAGGGCAGAAAAGTAGAAGTCTGCTTTCCACAATGAGAGCCCCAGCTCTGTCTTTTTGGTAGGTTAGTGGCCAGTGAGCTGAGCGAGTCTCTTCTGTAGCTGCTGCTGCCGTGCCCTGAGATGCCTCTTCTCTAAGGCCATGGTCTTCTCAGCACTCACCAATGTCTGCAGATACTCCAGGGCCTTGCTGAGGATGACCACCTTAGGAGTCTTGGTGCAGCTGCCCAGAGCAGGCACCTGGTCCCGTAGTGCCAGAAAGCGAGAGCGGAGGTCATTTCGCCTCTTCCGTTCCAAGAAGTTGTGATTTTTCCTCTTGGTCACATCCTCGGTGTCAGAAGAGGCCGGCCTGGACTGGCTGGGCCCCATTTCTGAGGATGGGGGGCTGGCAGGCCCTGGAGGACCCACAAGCTCCTCTACTTCTTCTTGTTCTTCCTCCTCTTCCTCCTCCTCCTCTTCCTCCCCCTCCTCCTCTTTGGCCTCTTTCTCCGGAGTCCCCTCCTGAGGACAGTTGTCTGGGGGGAATCGGGCAGCATAGTTGTGCTGCTGTTGGTGGATGGAGATGTGGAAATGTTTCATGCATGGGTCCAGGGGGTCAGCTCGAACTGTGATGGTGACTGGCTTCCGGACACTGAGGGATTGCCTCCTCTCCACTGTCACCACATCGATCTCTTCACCCTCTGTCCAAGGAGAAAAAAGTAAAGAAAATGACTAAAATGCCTACTAGATGCAAGGGTGTGTCTACCAGCTAAAGATGCAAGGATAAAGACAAAAAAGTCCAATCTCCGGCCTCAAAGAGTTCACAATCAAAAACAGACCAGTGCACCACGCTACTTAGAATATGGTGGGTATATAGGACCACAGACGGGGACCTTCAAGCCCCACAGGTCACCTAATTCAACCTCCTCATTTGACAGATCAGGAAAATGAGGTTTGGAGAAGTAAAATGGGCTAAGGTCCCATGGAGGCAAGCCACTGTGGGATGGGGGAATGAATGCCTCTAGAGTCAGAACCTTGGGTTCAAATCCAACCGCAGACGCTTATTTCTCCACTGTACGAGATTCAACCTTGCCCAGGCCTCAATCTTCCCATCTGTCAAATGAAGGGGTTGGACTAAGTGATTGCTGAGGTCCCTTCCAACTCTGGTCCAGTAATCCTAAGTGTGGAAGGCCAGGAGGCAAAGCCAAGTCCTCCAGCTCCAGAGCTTTGAAAGGTTCAAGTTCAAATAAGGAAATGGAAGCCAAGGACCTTGGCCGAGATCCCACTGGTAGTGTCTGCAAGCTGCTTCACAAGCCTTCAGAGTGTTATGTAAATGCCACCATTATTATTACTTTTTTTTTTTTGGTGAGGCAATAGGGGTCATGTGACTTGCCCAGGGTCACACAGCTAGTAAGTGTTAAGAGTCTGAGGTCTGATTTGAACTCATGTCCTCCTGACTCCAAGGCCAGAGCTCTATCCACTGTGCCACCTAGCTGCCCCCATCATTATTATTAGAATAAGAATTCAAACCTAGGCCCTCAAAAATTCAAATAATAGCGTCCAGAAAGATCCAGCCTGCAAGGTAGAGTAGAATGATCACCAGATGTGACAAGTAGCCCAGACCTAAATCCTGGTTCTCGCACCTACGAGGTAGATAGCTAGGTGGCACAGTGGATAAAGCACCTGCCCTAGAGTCAAGAAGACCCGAGTTCAAATTCAGCTTTAGACACTTACTAGCTGTATGACCCTCAATTCATTTAACCCTGTTTAACTCAGTTTCCTCATTTATAAAATGAGAAGGAAATGGCAAACCACTTCAGTATCTTTGCCAAGAAAACACCAAAAGGGGTCATGGAGAGTCAGACAACACTAAAAGATAACAGACGTGAGGCAGTATGATCTAGTGGAAGCAGTCCCAGATCTGGACCCAGGTTCATTCACATCCCAGGTCAGGCACTTACTACTCTCGTGTAACCTTGGGCAAAAACAATCAGCAAGTATTAAGCGCCTACTATGTGCCAGGCACTAAGGTTACAAAGACCAAAATAATGGACTGACAACACTCACATTTTCTAGTTATTAGTTTAAAAGAGGGAGAATCCTAGGATCAAGGACTGGAAGGGGCCTCAAGGCTCATCTAGTCCCCATCTCTCATTCCTCCTGAACTGAGGATGACAGCAGTAAAATGACTTGCCCCAAATCACACAGTAGCCATATGAGGCAAGACTTGAACCGTCTTTAGATTGCCTCTAAGGTCCTTTGATCCTTAAGAACTTGGGCAAATCACCTTCCCAGCTGTTAGCTTCTTCATCCAAAAGTTGGGGTATTAATACTAATACTCATTATGAATTTTTTAGGGTTTTTGGAAGGAAGTGCTTTATAAAAAGTGCCATAGAAGTTACTTTTATTAGAGGCAGGAATCATTGATAGCATCATGGCACAGTATAAAGAAATCTGCGTTCAGATCCCTGTCCTGCCCTTTACCAGCTATGTAACCTAGAGACCATGAGCCTCAGTTTTCCCATCTGTAAAATGGCCTTGGTTGCCTCACTTGCAAATAGAGACCTTGAAGATCTCTTCCAGTTGAGACTACAGATCACTTATAGATGCAGGTGACCAGGGAAAACTTGACCTTCGCTGGGCAATGAAGGAGGGGATTTCAACAATCTTGGTTGGCATGTGGCTAGCCTAGAACCTCCTACTTTGGTATCTTGCTCTGCGAGCTGAGAGCTAAGAGGCAGATGATACCACTTCCCAAGCCAGGCAGCAAAGCTCTCAAGCGACACAGGATCTGAGAGCCAGCTGATTTGCTCTCTACAAAGTGGTGGAAGAAGAAAAATAGTCTCCAATTTCCTTTTGCACAGCAAGGTTTGGATAAGAACAAAAGAGAGTCCCCAGCCTAGCCAGGCTCTCCCCTCCCCCATGGAAGGGAAGGGAAGAGAAGAGGAGAGGGTGCCTCACTAGCCTGGGACAAAGTTGAGCTATAAAGATCTTCCCCTGGTCGGACTCTTTCATGCGCAATCAGAATTGTAAATGAGGGGTCCAGGGGCCGAGCAGGGTCCTTTGTTCCTGCCCAGCACAGCCCGAGCTGGGCCCATTGTTACTTTTCACAAGTTATAAATCCTATTATCCCCCTACCTCGCCATTCTGTCATCTCATTCAGCGGAAGACTTTCAGAGACAGACAGAGGGGCTGAAATGTGCCCTGGCTCCCCCCTGAGGGAGGGAAGGGGCTGTCCTTAAGAACATTTCACCCTTGGGCTCAATGGGCTTCAGGAATTATTCATCACCCACAGGTGGTCCCTCCCCCAGGCTTCCAAACACCGGCCCAAAAAAGGTTTTCTAGACTTTGAAGGACTACAGGTTTTGAAATGAAGGGGGGCAGGCTTGGGGTATTGGATAGATGGACCATTAGCAAAGTCCTAAGCTATCCATCAGGGTCCATCAGCAGGAGGACTGTCCCACTGGAAGGGGCTCACAGAGCGGGAAGCAAGAGAAAGGACTAGTGAAGAGCCCAGTGTTCAAATCCTGCTCTGATCCTAGCTATGCTAATCACTTAACCAGTGTGAGTTTCAGATTCCCCATCTGTCACCCTTTTCTATGACTCAAGAGGGGTCCCGGGTCCTGGGAGACTATATGGGCCAATCCTGTCATTCTGCTTTCCCAGGGTACCAAGCAGGCAGAGCTACTCTTAGAAACCAGGTCCTCTGATCCCGAAATCTAGATCCCTAGCTACTTACATCACCTGGCTTCCCTCTAAGCACTCTGCAACCCTTTGGGTGTTTTTATTAGTGTTGTGTAAACCACTGGGGTAAGGCAAGGCTCCTAGGAGTGGTACCTGACTCACTCGATTCCTGGGAAGGTCACTCCCCCAAATTCTTCTGAAGACAGAGGGAGGCTCCCAGAAGTACAGTGAGAAGCAAGGAAATCTGGCCTGTTCAGCCTAGCTCTCCTACACACATTTCTAACTGAACCAAAGCTAGGGTCTTTGAACTCATTTCCTAGGCTCTTTACATATCAAGATACTTAAGCCCCTTTGTGACTCAAACTTGCATTGTGGGAACAATTGCATTATTTCCCATTAATAAAACTGGCCCATTCAGCTCTTCGTGGCCTAGGCTCGGGATTGGCTAGTTCACTGCTGTTTGGAATGCTGCTTCAGCCAGTCCTCAGCCCCTCATTGGCTGATCTTCGATGTCAGTCATTATTCCCACCCCCCTCATTGTTTGCAATCTGTTGCTTTTTGTTCCCAGGCCATGTGGCCAGTCCCAGAGCCAGGGGCCCTGGAAACAGGTTCAGGTGAAAGGCCAGGTCAGTAAGTAAAGCTTGGAGAAAAGTAACATTAAAAAAAAAAAAGCCACAGAACACACCCACAAAGGAAGGTTGATGTGCAACCCTCAGGGGTGTCAAAGCCTCCAGCTTTAGAAAAGGTTCAGTGAGAGGCAACTGTAGAAAAAAAGTGATTCCTTTCATCATTAAGGTTTAAAAGAGTACATTCAGGAGCTGGGCTTAAGAGCAGCACCAGCAGATCGGCATCCCCAGGGCATTCCGAAAGCAGGGCTGTAAGAGAGAAAGCCAGCTCTTTCCCCTTCCAACCATGACCACAGCCAGCCGCCTGCTCAAACCAGTAAACACAAGCTTCAGAGTACAGGGTAGGGGTAGAATCCCTAGACTAAAGAGTTAAAAGACCCAGAGTTAGAATCCAGGCTCTGCCATTTGCTAAGGTGGCCTTGTGGCTGAGTACCTGTGTCCCCCACCCCTATAAAATGAGGGAGTCAGACCCTAACCTTTAAGAGTCCCTTTCAACCCCCGCAATCTGGGCTATTGTAGATGGAAGGCAGTATACCAACCATCCCAGCATAATCTCCCCTCTGGACACCACATTGTGTAGGAAAAAAAGGATTCAAAGATGTCTGGCATGCCTCTGTCTACCCTTTGGACAAGATTGCCCTTGTTTACCCTCCCGTTCCTAGGGCCCAGGATCTCTGAGGTTGGGGGGCAGGGGTGATGGTTCTCCATTCATTAGCAAGTTAAACATGAGCCAGGTCCTTAGCAAAGATCTGTCACTCTCTTAACTTAGAAAAGATAAGATGTGCAAAGGCTAACCAAGCCTGAGGTGCCAGAGGCACCAGTAAGATCCACTTTAACAGAAGCTAACTTGGCATTCTCAGCTCAATTCCCCAAAGTCCCCAAGGTAAGGAGAGACAAAACTGGGACAAAGAATATTCTGCCATCTCCACGCAGCAAGGCGGCTAAGAAAAGTGCTGATTTGGGAGGCAAGATCCAGACAGCTACTACCTGCATGACCATGGGTAAGTAACACTGATCCTCTCTGGGTCTGAGTGCCTTCCTTATAAAAATGTGCCAGTTTGGGGAGGCTGAGGAGGAGGGGGTAGGGGAATAGGTGTTTTCTAAGGTTTCATCTTTTTGTTCCCAGGCAAGTTATAATCCCATGAAGAACAAGTTGAACAGATACATCTGCTGGCAGAAAATAGGTTCTCACTTCCAGGAGCTAGTATAGTGTTTTTCAGAGTAGGCAATTAAATGTTTATTGAATTCAACACCTGGGGACTTTGAGGGGCTTCCAAGAAAGAAGGGAGCAACGCTGGCCCCAAGGATTCCTTTGCTGCACTCCACTGAGATCCCAGTAGAAAAATCTGAGAGTCAGGGGACCTGGGTTGGAAGCCCTACCACTTAGCTAGCTGTGGGACTCTGGGCAGGGCCCTCTCCTTCTAAAAAGTCGGGGGTTAGAATAAATGACCTCCAAAATCCTACGATGCTTTGATGCTATGAAAGAGGACAACAGACACCCTGGTACTGGGGCCCTAGGGACACCTCCTCCTCAGACTCAATGGGGTCTCACCCTTTCCCCAGTTCCCAGGAAGAAGCCTTTAACTCCCACCCCCTTTTGTTCCTTTGGGGCTTCAGTCTATTTACCAACACACCCACGTGTGTGAGAGAAAAGCGGCTAGGGGGCTCTGTGCCCCAAGAGGCAAGGTGGAGAGGGCAGCCTTCAGGCTTTGGCCTGGATGGATGCGGAGCAGCCAGCTGGTCCAGCCTTCCTGGCTCCAGACAGCACTAACACCTGTCTGGGAGGGGCAGGGAGAGGTGACCCGAGTTTTCCCTAGCTGCCTGGCCGCTCCGGGCCCAGGCAGCCACCCTAAGGTCTGCTCTATCCCCTCCCCCTATCCCCAAGGGTCCCAGATAGGCTGAGTCCTTACCGGAATCGCTTTGGCTCTCCGAGCCCGAGAAAGCTTGAGGCTTGGGTTCGCCCGGGGCACAGGGGTACACGGCCGTGGGATCCACGCCTTCGGGCCCCGGGTGGCCGCAGCCCGGGTCTGCCGAGGCCGTTGGCTTGGCCGGATTCCCCTTGGGTGTCGCGACCGCCACGAGTTTGTCGTTCATCACTTTCTCCAGCCGCTCCCGGGCGGAGAAGCCGCTCCACATACAGTCACTGCGGATGATGGAGGCGTAGTTCCTGGCCAGCGCCTTAGAGTAGCCCCGGCCCTCCGCCTCCTCCACCCCGCAGCCCCCAGGCCATGGCTCGGGTGACCCGTTCGCGGCTGACGAGCAACAGGCACCCGGGCTAGAGCCCGAGCCCCACGGGGGCGACATGGGGGGCGAGGGAACCAGCTCGAATTTCTTCCAGATGTCCTCGCTGGGCGCCGTGGAGCGGTAGAAATCTTCCTCGTAGTCACAGTCGTAGAAATAATGTTGGTACGAGTCGAAGTCCATCTCCGCTCCCTGCAGGAAGGGGGGGGATGGGGGCATCGGTGGGCTGGGGGGCCGTGGCTCCAGGAAGAAGACCCGTCGCCCCTCCCTCCCCCCTCTCCGCCGGCCTGTCTGCCTCCCTCCCTCTCCCCTTCCTTCCCTCTCCCCTTCCTTCCTTCCCTCTCCGCCTGCCTCCTGCCTCCCTCCCCCAGGCGCCGAGAGTGAATCCCCCAGCCCCAAACAGATAACCCAAGCGCCTCCCCCTCCAGATCCACGCCCCCCCCTCCGGGTGGCCGATCAGAGCCCTCCACCCCTAGCCGGCCCGAGCGCCTTCCCCCGAGAGCTGACCCCATTCCTCCCTTCGGCAGCAGAGTCCCGAGGCATGGCAAGGCAGGGCAGGGCGCTGGGGCCACTCCCCCCTCGCAGAGCCCGCAGCCAGAGCAAAGGGCCGCGGGGAGCAGGAGGGTGGAAATGAGGAAGGGAGAGTTAAAAGCAAACTTTCCCAGGCTCGGCCAAAGTCGAGCTACTTTGGGGCGAGGAGGTGCGGGGGTGGGGGGGTCGGTGCCTTGGTCCCAGGAGTGCCGCCCAGTTCCCCCCGCCTTCCAGGGTTGACCAGCCCAATGTCTCACCTGGCTCCGACGGCCCCACACCTGGAGGGAGCCGGCTCCCCCGCGTGCTCCGGGCCGCCTGCACACATGCACCCCCCGCGCGCACACACACATGCACACACACACACATGCACACACTCACTCACTGGCGTGCGCGCGCGGACACACACAAACACACTCACTCACTCACTCCCACACCAACGGAGCTCCAGGGATCAAAGCCGGGAGCCGGGAGCCGGACGTATTGTTCCCAAGCCGCCTTATATCCAGCCCTGCGCGGCCCCAGCCACCCCAACCAGGAGGCGCCGATTTGCATAGTGGGCGGGGGCCGAGCCCCCTCCTCCTCCCCCTCCTGCTCCCCGCCCCAGTCTGCGCGCCGGGAGCCCCTCCCCTTTGCGCGGCTTCCCCCCCCCCGCCTCTGGCGGATGGGCTGCGGTTCCCCCCCCCAACTCCCCTTCCCCGCTGCGGCCCCGCAACTAAGGGCCGACCTGGGCGGCGGCGGTTCCCGTCTCCCGGAAGAGCACGGGACAGGTTTGGCGAGCTTCGGGGCCCGGCCCCCCCGCCCCCACCCGCCGCCGGGGAAGCCCCGCAGCCGCGGGAGCGGGAGCCGAAGCGGGGGCGGGGGCGGGGATCCCGCAGCGCGGGCTGCGCGCTGGGACAACCTGGCGCCGCAGTGGCAGAGGTGACGCAACCTTGTTGCAGACCCGGAGAGGAGAGACCCGGAGCCCCCACTCCCCGCCCGCCCACCACTTCTGTAGCCCCCCTCCCAAAGCGAGCCCCCAGCTGCCCGAGGCACGCCCCCCTGCCCGGCGGTAGCTCGGCTGAGAGTCCCTTCCGCCCTCCCATATCCCCGTTCCACTCCCTAGGGGGCCCCTTCCACCCCAGAAAACTCCCTCTCCTCTGTGGGCCCCCAGCACCCTAATGCACGCACTGCTCTAGGCCGGGCGCAGCCCTGGGCTGGCTGATGAGTGTCCTGGGCTCAGATCCTTCCGGATCTCTTTCCCCAGGACCGCCCCTGAGGACCGGGACAGACAACCCGAGTGCCGCCCCCTCCCCAGACACCCAGGAATGGTCTCTCCCCCCTCCAAATCCCCCAGTATTGACTGCCTGCCTGAAGCCGGTCTTTGAGCGCAGTCTAGTGCCACCTTGTGGCCATGGCTTGCCCTGATTATTAGGGTCCGTGGGTTCGGGGAGCGGGGAAAACAACCTGCAGGATAGTTTAGAAGTCATCTAAACCAGCGCTTTCCTTTGACAAAAGAGGCATCTGAGGCCCCTGGACATGTCCCAGGTAATCCTGGTAGAGAGAAGAGTTGGGATTCGAACTGAGGTTTTCTGAATCCAGATTCAGGCTCTCTCCATTACACCCCACAGTTGGCCTGTAGGTGGTGCTTACTTAGCATCACAGACAAGATAGATTTCTTTCTCCTAAAGCCTGGCACGGATAGAGGGGGAAAGATAAGGAGTTCAGTTTTTGGACCGTTGAGTTTATGCACGCCCAATTTGCGATGTTCAGTAGGCACATGCAGAGATGGGAAACTGGAGGTCAGCAGAGAGATTAGGGTAGATAAGTAGGTTTGAGAATCATGTGATCATTGAATCTTGAGAGCTGTTGAAATTGCCATGTGAAATCTACAGAGGGAAAAGAGAAAAGGGCCCAGGACAAAACTGGGAGTGAGGGAGAGAGATACCCGATGTTAGATGGCATGACCTGGATGCAGATTCAGGAAAGGAGACTGAGAAGGAGCAGTCAGGTGGAAGGAGAACCAAGGGAGATCAGTTTCATGAAAACCTAGAGAGAAGAGATTATGGAGGAGAAGAGGGTAATCAAAAGTATTAAAAGCTGGAGAGGAGTCAAGAAATGAGTGTTCTATTTGCCAATTAAGAGGTCATTGAGGGGCAGTTAGGTAGTACAGTAGATAGAGCACCAGCCCTGGAGTCAGGAGGATCTGAGTTCAAACTTATTAGCTATGTGACCCTGAGCAAGTCACTTAGCTCCAATTGTCTCCAAAAAGAAAGGGAGAGAGAGAGAGAGAGAGAGAGAGAGAGAGAGAGAGAGAGAGAGAGAGAGAGAGAATCTATAATAGGGGCAGCTAGGTGGCACAGTGGACAGAGCTCCAGCCTTGGAGTCAGGAGGACCTGAGTTCAAATCCGGCCTCAGACGCTTGACACTAGCTGTATGACCCTGGGCAAGTCACTTAACCCTGATTGCCTCAACAAAAAGCAAAAAAAAGAGAGAGAGAGAGATCATTGGTAACTTTGGAATGAGTAATTTCAGTTGTATGATGACGTCAGAAGCCAGACAAGAGAGTTAAGAAGATAATGAAGTGAGAGGAAAGGAAGTGGAGGGGTTGGTTATAGAAAGCCTTCTCAAGGAGTTTCACCACAAAAGAGAGGAGAGAGATACAGGAATATAAGATACATAAATGAGGGGTTTTTTGAAGATGGAGGAGACACAGTATGTTTATTGTTAGGGAAGCACCCAGTAGACAGAGAATGACAAATAAGAGAGTAGGGATAATAGTGGGGAGGCAATCTGCTGGAGAAAAAGAGATCAAATGGATTTACTTGTGCATGTAAGAGGGGTTTGGCTTGGCAAAGAGGTGATGTCACCTCTTCAGGTGAGAGGGACACCTATCACATGGGAAGGGTAAGGAATAAGAGGTGGATGACCCTAATCAGGGAGAAATCAAGGAACGCCTCTAGCAGGTCGAGTGTTAAATTTGGGAGAAGATGTGAAATCAGAATGGAATGATAGGGATGAATCAATGAATGAGTAAATAAATGAGTTTTTAAAAAGCATTTATTCCCCTCTTAATATGTGCCAAGTGCTGGAGATACAATTACAAAAGCAAAGACAGTCTCTGCTCTGCTATTTAGAACTTACTTTACATCTTGTTAGCACTCAGGCCATAGTCCTCATTCCCCTCCAGATATAGAATAGTGGATTCTGCCCCTAGGACATTGGGCTCCAAAAGTGATCTTTCATTTCATCTTGCCTGGAATTAGGCCTCTACATCATATGCAGAGCTCTTTGTCATCTGCTTACCTCCACTCTCTTCCAGCCCCCCCTTATCTTTCTTTCTTTGTTGCTTGCTTTTTAGAGATGCAGTCAGTGTTAAGTAACTTGCCCCAGGGTCACAGAGCTAGTATGTATGAAGTGTCTGAGGCTAGATTTGAACTTGGGTCCTCCTGACTCCAAAGCTGGAGCTCTATCCACTTCACCACCTAGCTGCCCTCATCCCCCCTTTTATGTGTCCCCAATTAGAATATAAGTTCCTTGAAGATAGGAACTGTCTTTCTTGCTTGTATTTGGATGCTCTGTCTATAACTAGCTATATTCTGGTGGGGAAAACCATATGCACTGGGGAGTGGTGACCAGAGAGGGGTACTTTCCTATGGAAAGTTCCAGAGATGGTGAGTGGGGTGATAGGCGAGTAGACTGATGAATCTGTATAGCCTTCTATCTATTCTCTATACACTCAACTATATACCTTCTTGTCTTCCCCAAAAAGTATGATCTTAGGAACAGGGACTGGTTTTGCCTTTCATTTGTACCTCTAGTACTAAGCAAAATTTCTAGCACATAATAAGCAATTTAAAAAATGCATATTTATTACATAGACCCAAATCTCACACCATATACCAAAATAAAGTCAAAATGAGTTCATGATTTAGATATAAAGGCTGATACTATGAGCAAACTGGGAGAACAAGGAATAATTTACCTGTCAGATCTGTGGAGAACAGAAGAATTCATGACCAAACAGGAGATACAGAACATTACGAAAAGCAAAATAGATAATTTTGATTACATTAAATTGAAAAGTTTTTGCACAAACAAAACCAATGCAACTAAGATTAGAAGGAAGGTAGAAAATTGGGAAAGAATTTTTACAACCAGTCTCTCTGGTAAGGGCCTCATTTCTAAAATATATAGAGAATTAAGACAAATTTGTAAGACTACAAGCCATTCCCCAATTGATAAATGGTCAAAGGATATGAACAGACAGTTCTCAGATGAAGAAATTAAAGCCATCTATAGTCATATGAAAAAATACTCTAAATCATTATTTATTAGAGAAATGCAAATCAAAACAACTCTGAGGTACCACATCACGTCTATCAGATTGGCCAACATGACAAAACAGGAAAATGATAAGGAGAAGATGTGGGAAAATTGGAACACTAATGCATTGTTGGTGGAGTTGTGAAATGATCCAACCATTTTGGAGAGCAGTTTGGAACTATGCCCAAAGGGCTATCAAAATGTGCATACCCTTTGACCCAGCAATAGCACTTCTAGGGCTATATCCCAAAGAGATCAAACAAATGGGAAAAGGACTCACATGTACAAAAATATTCATAGCAGCTCTTTTTGTGGTGGCAAAGAATTGGAAATTGAGAGGATGCCCATCAATTGGGGAATGGCTGAGCAAGTTGTGGTGTATGAATGTAATGGAATACTACTGTGCTATAAGAAATGATGAACAGTCTGACTTCAGAAAAACCTGGAAAGATTTATATGGTCTGATGCTGAGTGAAGTGAGCAGAACCAAGAGAACTTTGTACACAATAACAGCCACATTATGTGATGACTAATATTGTTAAACTGAACCGTTCTCAGCATTACAAGGATCTAAGACATCTCCAGAAGCCTTGGGATGGAAAATGCTGTCCACATCCAAAGAAAGAACTATGCAAGTCGAATCGCTATCACTTATTTTTACCTTCTGTTCAGTTTTGTTTCATCTTTCTGATGGTTCCTCCTATTGGTTTTAATTTTTACTTACAACTTCACTAATGTGAAAATATGTTTAATAGGAACGTAAATGTAAAGCCTATATCAGATTGTGTGCCGTCTTGGGGAGGGTCAGGGAGAGGAAGGGGGGAAATTTTTCAACTCAAAAGCATTTGGAAGTGATTGTTGATAAATCAAAATAAATTAATAAAATTAAAAAAAAAAAAAGAAATGATGAACAGGTCAACTTCAGAAAAACCTGGAAAGACTTATATGGTCTGATGCTGAGTGAAGTGAGCAGAATCAAGAGAACATTATACACAATAACAGCCATGTTGTGTGATGACTAATTTTGATAAACTTAACCCTTCTCAGCAATACAAGGATCTAAGACATCCCCAGAAGCCTCATGATGGAAAATGCTATCCACATCCAAAGAAAGAGCTATGGAAGTAGAATCGCTATCATTTTTTTTTCTTCTGTTGAGTTTTGTTTCCTGTTTCTAATGGTTCCTCCTATTGGCTTTAATTTTT